TAAAGTCAGAATTCCAGGTTTTATGAATCTGTTACTAGGGCCTCATCAATATGGTTGCTAAGAACTGTATTTTTCCATAGTAACTGTGATTATCTTTTACATTTTTGCTTGGAAAAATAATTTATGATAATTTCTATGACTGCAAATATAAGAATGATAGTTTAATAAAACAGTTTAGTTTACTTGATAAAGAAATACTCAAGAATAAATTAAAATAGATTTTTGTTGGCGGCCATCTTGTTTTTGTATTGTAGTTTTCAGAAACTTAAGATTCAGCTTGGTACTTACTATTTTTGAATTCAGCTCACCAAATTTATATATTATAGCCACAACAATCAATTCTATTAAAAAAATACTTTTTGTGAAAATGTGTATAATTATTAAACTTATGTGTATACGAATCCTACTTTAAAACAAGGTCAGTTTCTACAAGTCAGTTTTTCTGATCTGAATAATTAAGCTTACCAAGAACTATTTTACATCCTTTTAGTGGAAATATTAAGAAAATTAAAAACTAAGATTTACTATTTGCATTAGCGTGATTACGCATATCATCAGATGATTAAATAGTACGTTTTGCATACTCAACATAGCAGGAAAACACTGAGGTTTATATATATATATATATATATACATATTATAATATATATATATACAGTATATGACAATGCTATAGGCAATCTAAAAGCAGTTTGTAAATAGGGGCTATCTACTCATAGCCGTCTCTAATTTTGAACTGATAGACTAGAGGGAAGACAACATCCATCTCCAACTCTTGTCTGATTGATACAGCGGAATTTGATTTAAAGTGCGAAGAGCGATTTGCCTTTATAACGTCTGGGCTAGCGTGAATAAGTTATACTCTACCCTAGCACAACTGGAAAAAGATTTCACAAACGAGATGACGTTTCTCAACACTTTCAGACGTCCTACAACCACTCTAGATGTGCATCTTCATTTGTAACTATAACTGGGAAGTAAACATCACACACCAGCCATATATTACGAGGTTTAAGCAAGGGTATTTTAGTGTAAGTCATCAGGCGCATTTCCGAGCCTAGGGGCAAACAACGACGTAGGTCTGAGGCGGCAAGTTAAGTATAACCAAACAGGGAAGTGGCCCAGATCGAATACCGCTCTGAACCCTTATTTATCTTCAAGTTCTGCCTACATAATATGACGATTATTTGAACCCACTACTAAAGCCCGTACTGTACCGGCATACGTCTCTCTTCTTTTTTAGAAATTAAATCACGTACTTCGAACGGATAAACGTCAATAGAATAAAACAAGGAAACGCTTCTAATTATCCGCGAGTAACTGAACAGTCAGAAAATGGAGTCATGTAGAAACGTATACTGTAGTCTATCTTTTACTCACAATAAAAACATTTTAATGCAAATTATTACTGAACCGTATTCTTTTTTTTTCTATGCAAAGACACGATCTTAATTTTTTTCAAATGATTTGAAGTATTAAACTTAATTAATCACAACTTTGATTAAAAGATTTAAAAACTTAAGTAAGATATAAACATTAGCGACTTTTCTGGGACCATTGTAGAAGTGGAATTTGTCTAGAGGTAGCGGATATACTGTCTGTTAGATCTAACCACTATACCTAATGCATGATAACTGAAATATATAAGAGCAGGTATGGATGCTCAGGCCCACAACGTACCATATCTTTAACACTTTTCACTGCCTGTTGAAAAATGGCTGCTCGCCTATTGTTTTAGATATAAGTCTATCTGCTTTATCCACCGCGAGGATTCAAACCCCGGTTTTTAGCGTTGTAAGTCCGTAAACTTACCGCGATCCCACCAGGAGGCTGGCTGTTTAAATTATATACAGAAGACTATGAAGAACATATCGCTTGGGATGATAATAAAAACTCAGCTTTTGATGTTGGAAATCTAGCCCCAATAATGAACATAAAAGCATTTAAACAATAAGCAATTCGTGAACAATAGATGAAGAGTCCCAATTTTGTACGGAACTGCACACTAAGGCCAGAGGTCCTTATTACTTAGGCTTTACGTCCCTAATTTTATACTACTGACCAGACATGAGGGAACCATGTAGCAGTAATCGCCGTCACAAAGGCTTTGTACGGTTCTTTTAAGCGAATAACGGGACTGTCACCTTTATGACGCACTCACAGCTGAAAGTATTTCTCGGCATCACATCTTTATTCCCTCACCTCTTGATCCGTAACCCAACACGCCTTGCTACTACACCACGGCCATAAACATTTACAATTTTATCAAATGACCAAAAACTTAAAATCAGTTTGTTTATTGGTTTATCAACAAACTGATGTTAAGTTTTCTCTTTATGATTGTTTACACAGGCATTATTCATTTTCTATAAACGTTACTGCAAAATACGATTTATAGCAAGAGAATATTTAAATAAGCATAAAATTTATAGTAAGCATTTTTACACAATAAACACACACACACACGTACACAAATCGAAGTAAAAATGCTAAGTGTGTTGAAACAGTTCATGTCATGTTTAATGTTTTAACATGAAAAGTATGATTGAATTGATTTGTATGTTTCTTTGCGGCTGAAGAAGAGAGACATTGCTTAAACAAGTCGCTGTAAAAGCACTGACACTTCTATGTGGCGTATATTATTCAAATATAAGTTAATATGCACGTGGATTTTAAACTACGTCAATATCATTCCCGCGCTAACATCAAAGCAAGTGGAGCCAAGGGGATGATGAAATGTTGGAACGAAAAGTACTTAATGTAGATCGAGTTGCATCGACGTTGCAATACAAAGAATACATAATATTAAATGATGAGGAATCACTTCTAATAGCTAACTTTGACGTTTGTCAGATCAATGATACTTCTCCTTTATCCCTCTTTAACTTTTGGTTTCGAGAGATAATAAGCGTCACATAGACCACCCAACGTTTTTATACCGTCCAGTGCCGGTAGTCGACATATCATATTAAATAATCTTGTTTTTGGCCGTTACAACACTATATTAAACGGACTGACCAAACTATTTAGCAAAATCACGTTTTTCATGTAAAATGCAAGAGTTAATATTGAGATTAATTGAAATATTTTTTCCTTAATTTTATTTTTATGACTCACATGTTTTTTAAGGGTACTTCAAACAATAAATTTATGGTTCCACAAGAAATTTGGCGCATAAAAAATATAGAAACGTTTAAAAATGAGATGAAGATAATAGGTAATTCTAGGTTTTTTTTTTCTTAAGCACAAACATACACAGTGAGCTATCTGTGCTGTGCCCACCACGTGTATCAGAACCCGATTTTTTATCGTTCTAAGCCCGACTTACAGCTGAACCCCTGGGGGGCGGTAATTCTAGAATTACGTCATGTGGAGTAGTAATAAAAAAATTATTTGAAATCAGTATCAGAAGCTAGAACTACTAACCAAAGCAGGCTTAGTAGCTAAACACTTCCTAATAATAACGTCACTTAAGACGTCTATTGACGTACTGGAAATGGTTCATGGGACTATTACTAAAATGATTCCGGGGGGGGGGGAGTTACTATATGTGGATAACTCTTAACTTTTTTATCTTGAGAAAAGAAATGTAAAATACGATCTTACTAAATTTTACAAATTATTTGGTAGATTCATAGGAAAAAGAACTGGTTTTTTAGTGCTGTGTTCTGAAAACAACAAGACACAAATTTAGTATTTGGAAATGACAGTCTAGGCCACAGTTAAAAAAAGTTTTATTTTTCTAACATGGTATTTTGACTCGTTTCATGAGTCAATGAGTTGCCGTCAGCAGTAGTGGAGATTGTCACTTTACAAGTTTAAAGAGAGGAATTATGATTCCATGAAAAAAATGTGGGTTTAAATGTTTACTCGTATTGAAAGTGGTTGGAAGGTTTACACGGTCCCTTGTTGTCAATCTCTTAGGTTATTCAATAAAGCAGTTCCGTCTATTTAAGAATACGTTACACTGTCGCCATCTATAGTGAACATTATGAAACGAGAAAACAACATGCTTTACAATCCAACAAATAATTTTTAATATTAGCTTTCACATGAAACCTATAAACTACACACTAAGCCCAGCTGGAAATTAGTCAAAACCATGGAATGTGATAGAATGGAGCTTCATAAAAATTATTTAGATGGAAAAGTTTCCTCTTTATGCATCCTCTTTTATAACCTTCCATTTGGAAAATATACAAACCAAACGGATTCCAACAATACACCGTAAGCTTGAACATGCCTTCATCAGTACATTAAAGAATTACTTTGACAAATTTACTATTACGAAACTTACCTATACTAAAATTATCATCAGAATCAACAATCAGAGTTAGCTGACCAAGATGTGTCTAGATTGGTTTTTCGTGCATCAAGGAAGGTACACTTTTGCAGCTAGTTGCATATATTATTCTGGGGTCGAGCGGTGAAACATTGTGGTATCAGTCGTAAGACTTGCATCAGCTTAAATCTTGGATAATACTTGGTACACGTACAGTTTTTATGCTGGCAAAACATAATTTTCTAATCTATTGTAAAATTAAGCTTTGTAATTGGCAGTAAGGATGTTTCCCGACTTTAGATATTACTAAGCGCACACAAAATTGTTTGCAATATTTTCTGAGCTAATGTAAATTAAGTTCAGTATGTAATAAGTATTAGATGTATCCTGAATATCTTTTAAAGTTTTAACCAATTTTTATGACTTTTTGTTACACAGTAGTATTAGTTATTTGTTGTTAAACAAAAAGTTGCACAATGGGCTATTTTAGCTGTGTCAACTGCAGGTATTAAACCACGAATTTAACGTTAAGTCCTCAAGCTGACTATTGAGCTATGGAGGAGGGACCAATTAATTGTGCAACGGGTACTAACCTTTTTTTAAAGAGCTTTGTTATCTAAGTTTAATGCAGTCATTTTTCAGTAGTTAGTGCACAACTAATACCACAATGTTGATGTACAAATAAATCAGCCACTAATAAACCACAATGTCACAAAACTTACATACATTCAGCTCACAGTGCTTGCTTTTTATTCATAAAATGAGTTATTCAAAGCTACACAACAAATTTACACTGACCACATCTCTGTATAACATTAAGGTGTAATATGGCAAGATCAGCATATTTTCATTTTAAGAGCTTATGTTATCATAGTATTACTGATTTAATTAAAATTAAAAGTTTGTTAGGAAACTTTTATTCTGGACTCACTGGCCAAGCTTACACAGATACTTTAATGTAATAACTGGAATTTGGATGAATATAAAAAAGCATACAATTAAAACAGTTCTTGTGTGTTGAGGCTGGCAACCAAAAGTCATAAAAAATGAGTAAGAATACAAGTATACTGTATGAAAACTACAAATACCAGATAATGCTTAAAGAGTACATGAATAAGTACAATAAACCTCTTGCAAGTAAGTCATCAGTTTCTTTCAAGGCAAGTTTTAAAATACTCCAAAGGAATGTCTCACGCATACTTTCATTTTAATTTATTTCCAGAATACTACTGTTGTTGTTAAAATGTTTTATGATTTTCTAATGAATATAAGCAACACAGAATAGTGATTTGACATTACTTTAAAGTTACAATTAGATTACACAAACTTTTTCCATATGATCTATAAGTATTTTATTCATTCTTTTACAATATCCAATTCTAGCTTTTAATCTAAATACATATGTACTACCATCAAGCAAATTTAAATATTTTTATATAAGATACTTAAGTTCCATTATCTTAAAGCTTCAGGTGAACTGCTATCTTTAACATGAGATTCTTCATCTGTCATTGCAGCTGTAGTTTTGGCTAAGATGTCTGCCTCTAATAATGCTTGAATTTCTTCCTTTGTGAGGGCCTGTTTGGCTGGGAATATTCTTTTCTGTATCAAAAAAAAAAAGTAAACAGACATATGTGGTATTTGCTTCAAGCAAAAATAAAATGTGCCACAAGTTATTCCAATAATATTTCTAAATAGTAAATGGAAATCAGGAAATTCAGCTGAGTATACAGAATGGATGTTTAAATACAAGATCATCATAATTAAGTAACTTAATAGGACTGATCATTTCATAAGTCATCATAAATAAAGTGTAAATAAGCATGGCTGGAATAACATGATTTACAGGAGTTTTTTGGTTTTTTTTCTATAAGATCCATAACTATGAAACAGCAGTATTTGTACCTTCGCATGCAGTCTTTCAATCTATCATCCTCATGAAAAGGAAGATAAGCTTTGACTTATTATTTGTTGTTTTAACTCTTTATTCTATTACCTATGATTCTAATCTTCTTTTATTCCCATAACTCCTATAGGAAACACAAAATGATATATTTAATTACTTGCAAGTAATTTCACCAAGAATTCATCAAATTCAAAGCTATTTCAAGTTATTACAAAGTTAAAAATTTATAAAGTAAAAGACAAAAGCTTGAAAATTCTAATTTACTGTTCAACTCATTCTATGTTAACATTCATTGTGCTTTTATTAAAATGCTGAATCAAACAAAACTGCTACATAGTAAAATGCAAAAACCCTTTAAGAAATAAGCTATGTAAACTTCCTTGAAGACAATTTACACTTTGTTTTACACCTACAAGTTATACAATTTTACTAGAAGATTGTCCCACAAAAAATATGATAAAAATTAACACACAGTTAACAATAGTAAATAAACAGAAAACAATGCCAGCAATCCATAACCTTGAAAGATTTTGTGTTCCAGATAAGTTTTCTCATGATCTTTAAGATTATTCTTCTTTCCTGGAATATTTCTTACAATGCACAGATCTTAAATTGTAATCCTTATTATAAAAAACACACCATCAAATGTCAAAATATAAATGACCATAAACAATAATTAATGTTGAGTTTCTCCTAATCCATACAAACACTGCAATGTATAAGATATAGAATATTGTCAGTTTTGTATGTCTTTTATGAGAATAAAAGATCAGAATTATGTTAAACATTAAATCTTACCACTTCAAATATTTGTGTTATTCCTTATTTGACTTACCTTCAGTGAAAATTAAAAAAACTGTATCAATAATTTATTTTGTGTGCTATTCCTATTTCAATAAATAACTGTTTTTGAAGTGTTCATGTATACGTTATACAATAACTTTTCATATTACCATGTATCAGTAATTGCCTATACTGATCAAGAACTGATCTGGAATTCTACTGTACTGAAGATAAAACCAAACTTTTAATCATCTACAGAAAATTTGAAAAATAATACAAGAACATAACAAACACTGAGATTTATGATTTAAGCTCTTCATAACAAACATTAAATCTTACCATTTTACATTTTTCTCACCTTGAAAGAACAAAACAAAAATCAACACTTGTGAATCTTGAGTTAGTTTGAAACAGTTAATAAATTATTATAAAACAGTCTTACTTCAATATATGAAGAACTTATTTCTTCATCAATATCAACACTTTCATAATCAGAAAAGAGTGAGCATGTAACAGGTGGATCAGTCAGACATCTTCTTTCAACATGGCCATGACGGACTGCTTGAAGAGATGTAATAATATCCTTGGAGCTTAAATCCCTGTTCTTACACTTTAGCTTATCCAGTCTTGACTCTATAATATTGTAGATGGAATCTCACATGAAAAGACACTTTTAGTACAATCATATTTTAGGTAAAAGCAAACACATCATTCATCATCATTAGCCACTATGATGGAGGTTGTTGATTCAATCATACAGGTGATCAATGCTTGTCTATTTTCATTTTAATATCACAAGTTTGAAATTACTATTTTAGTACAGTTAAGATAACTTTACTGCAGTATGTGGTTTTAGCTAGATTATGGACTAATTTACACAGAAGTAATAATATTTTGGGACTAAAATTCTACAATGGTAAGAAAAACTAAATAATTAAAAAGTCCTAGCTTTTAACTGTATTATACAAGTGTAATTTTATGTCATATATCACCCTCTCTTAACTAAAATTTCTCTTTCATGAACACAAAAATCACTGGTATTTTATATTTCTTATCTATATCACTTTATGTAAGTTTTCTTGCCAGACACAAAAAATGTAGAAACACACTTACCTCAAACATTAAACAAAAGAGTAAAATGGTGATGACAGTTAACAGTTAAAAAATCATAATACATAAAAAAAAAAGAGATTAATTATAATGTAAAAGATCTTAATACCAAATTATTATGATTAAATCTTTAAGATGAAATGATTGTTATGTTTTGAAGTGTTAATATAAATTGAAACAAGGATGCAAATTTTTTAATATAAATACATTGACTCTAAACCAATGGTTCTAATCTGTAATCCAGTGGCTTCCGTTAGGTGGTCCAAGCAAACACTGCATAATTATAGAAAATTGCACATAATGTATAGATTCCACTGTGGACGACGTATATGTATATTAAAAAAGTTAAATGGGTCCGTAACAAATAAAGTTGGAAAACCATTATTCTAGAGTGCAATACTCTATAAATTTAATATTTTCAACCTAAAGTTCAACTGGGAACTTAGGATATGTACTCTGATGATACAATCTAAATTGAATGTTAGTCTAGCTGTTAAGTATGGTTGGTTCAGAGTTTATGGTATTATTTTTAATTCCAATTTAAAACTGCTATTAATATTCCTAGTGGCTTTTTTATCTTTATGATGGATTAATATTTATTTTTGATCATATAAAAAAACTTGAAAAATAGTACAAAAATACAGAAAACATTGAGATTTATGTTTTAAACACTTAAAGATAAACATTAAATCTTATCATTTAACATTTTTCCCACCTTTAAACTGTTCAAGTTGCTTTTAGAAATATCAAGTTATCTATTTACATGTTTCATATTTCAATAAACTCCAAATACCATTAAACAGGAAAATAAAAATGGATAGAACATATTTGTGTTATTCTTTATTTCACTTACCTTCAATGATAATTTAAAATTTTAGCAATAATTTATTTTCTGTGCTTTTCCAATTTTGCTAAATAACTGTTTCTTAAGAATTCAAAGATATTTTTCATCATAATTTTTCATATAAACATGTACCAGTAATTGCTAGTAACAACAACTGATCTTAGATTCTACTGTACTGAAGACAAAACCAGACCTTTGTGGAGCATGTTAATGCAAAAGTCATGACCAGAGTCTCATGCACCTACAGTAATAAATGTCCATGTACATACAAGTTTATGAGATAATGAATATGATTTTCCACGGTACTTTTTCCTTACCTTTGTGTATGTGACATCAACACGTGATGTTTATAGTAATCTTTTAATATTATTTAGGTTTTTTAAAGTTAATTTTCAAGGTATTAGTGCTGCCTAAATTACAATACAGCTTGTTTTTTTGAGTGCAGATCAATCATATTTGCTGTAGTGAAACTTTTACTATATCGTTACAATACAATATTCATATCACTGCAGTTATCTCACTTCATCAAATAAAAAGCAAATTTAAAAATTGGTCAAGGGTGGAAAAGAACAAAAGTACAACTAATATGTATCTGTATATTAACAGAAAATTAACTGAAAAGAAACACACATATGTATTTGTTGATTCCCCATCTTCAGAATGTTATAAAACAAACTGAATAAAAAAAATATGCAATGGAAAAATTGATGAGATAAATATTTGATACTGAAACAGTATTTCACATTCAAACTTCAATGAAGAATCTTTTTGTCTAATGAATTTATTATAAGTAACATAAGACAGGTGAACAGTAAAACTAACAAATTTAAACTACAAATAAACCAACATCTACTTTAAAGCCAAGTGTATATAGGTCATAAAAATTACATGTCACATGTTAGTACTTAAACTAGATTGCAGTGTCAAATGTTGAAATCTAAAAAATAATAGTGTTGAATTTGATAAGATAAAAAAAGATGTACAATGTTGCATGTCACTTTTCAAGAAAGGGAAAATAAAAAATATTCTCGATTTAAGGTTTACAATTTCTTCCAAAAGGCAAAGGAGGAAGTGATATGAACTTGAAAGAAATATACATGACTTAGTATAATTAAAATTTGTACAGGGATATGACAATTTTTTAAGTATACTAAAAAATTATGAACATATAAATACCTGATGCTTGAGTGAAGGAACTGCTTTCGATGTAAAAACTATAGGTTGCATTTATTTAGTACTGTTTCACAAATAAAATGTTAACTTATAAAGCAGTTTATAAATTATTAATAATATTGACAAAATTCCTTTTATTCACACAGCCATCAACCAATACTTTGCCATTAAATTTCCTGTGCCAAAATATAATACTTTAATAGCTGTCTGTTTGTCACATGTATTTTTTTTTAATTTCTGATGCAGTCAAGCATGTTGCTAGTTAATATTGTATGTGAGGAAAGTTTCAGTAAACATGGAATGTTGAAATGTTGCATGATAAGATGGGCAATGTTGCAGTCAGTTTTTACCTATAATAATATACACCCACAAGGATAATCTATTTCTAGTTGTTATAATTTCCAATACAGATTTGAACAAAAAGACTATATAAATTGAAATCATTAAAACTTAAGAATTTTAAATGTATTGATTGGAGAAAAATGACTATATTATATGTAATTAAATGCAAGTGTTTGTAATAGATAATTCTGCTATTTATCATATCGATATATATTATTTACATTTTCTACGTAACTTCTAGTAATGAACTTTTATTTTTAATTTCATTACAAACATGTACAAGTTCCACTGTCACTGTTTCTGTTGAAAATGAAATTCAACTTTTACTTCAAATCTTAATAACGCATTAACGGGCCTATTTTAACTCTTTATCAAGTATTTATAATTATCATATTTATACTTATTAACAAAGTTATACTTGTACTCAAGTTGTAGTTCTACTTTGTACTTTGTAGATTGTATTTGTAGCCATACTCTTTGATTCTTACCCAAGGATTTTATGTAATTATCGGAATCTGGTAGGCGACTTACTGCTGTAAAATCGTCGTCAAATGAAGAAATAGATTCAGTGCGCTCATCAGTATGACATTCTGATAATCTTTTCTCGTCATTACGACTGTCTTCTCTCTCCAACCATGGATCGGCCATAACGTTTTACAATAACGCCTCTCCATCTAGCGGGAAAGCACTAAACTCTAATTTAATGCATATTACTTAACGTACCATCTATTACCTATTTTTATATAATTTATTTACTCGAACCTTTTAAAAATCGTTGTCAAAGATGAAAAGCCAGATTACGTATGTGATCATGGAGGTATTTCTTGATCGTTCTGAAGATCACATTGTTCCATCTTTACAATATCCTGAATTTTCATTTCGTGGGATTATACTAAAACAATGTATACTGCGTGACAAAATGCGATTTTTGTAAATCAAAAATTAAGAAATAGTGCTGAACATAAAATAGAGTTGCATCAGCATTATCATGAATAATTAGTTAAGCTTTATTACTCAAGATTGTACAGTTATGAAAAAAAGATTTTTCCAGTTTTTACTTGTAAAGGTATTAAATAATAAGAATAGGAATTAATTGCCTCATAATCATGTTAATGCTAAATTGTAATATCCTAAGTATATATATATTTTATTTTAAGTATAAACTAGAAAATGCTTGAAAAGTCATTTGAGAGAGAAGCAAACTTGCTCGGCTTACTATTCATCAAAAGGATGTTTCCCGTTTACCCACCTCGGGACAATCAAAGTAACACAATAATTTAAAGTTTAGGAATTTAACGAAAAGTATGTCACGAAATATATCATTGGTTGAAAATTATAACCCAAAATTTACCAGATTTACATTACTGTGTATTGTTAAGCACATGGCTACTCAATGGGCTATCTGTGTTCTGGTCACCACGGATATTGAGACCTAATTTTTTAGTTGTAAGCTCACAGACTTACCACTGAGCCACAGGTGGATTATATTACTGTATGAACTCTTCAAAATAAAGAAAACTTATTTTGAAACGAAAATGCACTTGTAAAAAAGAAATTTATAAGTTAAATATTCTATAACAAAAATAAATACTATATTGCCATTCTACAAACACTATGATGTTGAAATTTTACATTGTCAAATATTACTTTAGTAATAATAAAAATATTATGCTTCAAATTATTGGTTTTTAAAACTTTTTTTTTTCTTTTCACAATTCAGATATTTTCGAAAAGTCACTTCATGTTTTGAATAAGTTTCTTGGTGAACATATTGTTGCGTCTCTGCTTGTTTGATAATTCCCGTAAAATTTCCTTCTGAGAAACTTCGGCGATACGAGTTCTTTCTTAATTAAAACTAGTTTATTCTTTCTCGTTACAAACTTTATAAT